GAAAAAAAAGTGATAACAATTAAATAAAAAATCTTTAATAGCATCTACACATTTGAGGATACACAACATGCATACATATAACCCACTTACACTTCCAGATACTATTGCTGAAGTCGTCTCAAAACTTCCATTAGAGGATCTAGATAACTGTATTCAAATTAACCGCACATGGTATAAAGAAATTTGCCATGAACTTTATAAGAGGCATAAAAACTTTAATACAGAATACTATGATTTATTACATTTGATTCTACAAATAAGCCCTTGTCCCTTGCGATATTTAGCGACTGATTCTGATAATTTCTAAAAAGTAGAGACACATTAGTCTCTCCCATGTGTAAATCATCCACTGGATCTCCATTTTTGAAAGAAAATTCACATGGAACGTCATCAATTATGATATCTTTTTCCTCCTCCTCCTCCTCAATGAATGGATTTTCTTCTTCCAATGGAAGTATCACTGGACTACCCGGGGAGGGAGTGGTATATCCATCCAACTGGTGATACTGCTTTCTTCTTTTTCTGACATCCTGTCCGTCACGAGCAAAGTCAGCCAATGTTACCGATGCTTCATTATGTTCCACTACCGTCTCTTTCAAGACATCAAGAGACCTTTTATTCTACATAAACATAATATTTGTTATAGTGATAGCATTAAATCTAGAAGTATAAAGTCAAACCCTTTACCATGATCAAGCATTTATCCGACTATTGCATGGGAAACAAAGAATTTAGATTAAGCTTAGCCTTAGGATGTGCGAGTAAAGGCTAAAAGAAACAATTTTCGTTACCTGTATTTCACGAACTTTTGCATCAACTAATTTCTGTTTGAAGTCCGCTTTTTCATCTGCAAAAATGACCGCCCAGAAATCATGGATACGTCCGCCAGAATTCGAATCATTCTCAAAAAAAAAAAAAGAAGTTATTTCGGTTACCACACGTTCTGTGCAAGTTCATATTATTGAATATATAACTAATTTATTATGCAATCACTATGGACGGATTTCGGCGGAACGTATTCCATCACCATTCAGGATCGTAATCCAGTAGCTAGCCAAAATCCCAGCAGAACGTATTCCATCACCACTCAGGATCGTAATCCAGTGGCTAGCCTCTCAGCTGGACAAATTACATGGGCAGATACCGTAGTTCCCCATGCTCTCTGTGTCAACCGCCGTATGATTCGCAAAAGCAAGTGTACTAATGAAAGGTGCCTACCTGAAACTGCTTCAACGTTCTCGATGCTGTTGATTTCTCTTCCTTTGATCCATTTTCCATAAACCACTCAAGTTGTCGGGTGATTGCTGTCTTAACTTTGGTCTTACTCATTTCATATTTCTTTGCCTGCCATTCCCGGTGATATTCAAGCGCGTCCCAATCTTCGCAAGGTGTGGAGATGAAATAAGAAAACCCTGGCTTTTCTTTAAGTTCACTAAGCTTTCCCGACATGTTAGAAGAAAATATTGTTCCGAGATTAATAGGGTTAATAGCAAGAAACGATTTTTTTTTACGAAAAAATGATCATACAACGCGTTTTTGCGCGATAATCGCGATGATGCATTATGAATTCTGATTGGGCGATCGTGTTATATATGCCCCCTTACTGATTATCAATGTCTCGTCGAGTTTGATTTCTCCGCTTATTAGATAATACACCGTAAACTTTTTTTTGTTCGACGTTTTTTTAGTCTGTCGTGTGGAATTAAGCAAGTAATGGACGCATTAAATAGTGAACGAAACGAACCGGTGTTATCGAAATCCACAAAACGGAATTTACGAAGGAAGGAGCAACGACGCATAAAGAAAGCAAGGCTTGCGGGACCCACTAACCAATCAATTGACGAAGGACCCACCACACCCAATTCTGATGATGAGCAAGGCATCGCACCCGATTCTAACAATGGCCAAGACAACCAAGCGGAAGACGAAAAAACCGAAATATTTTATAATCCGGAGAAAGTAAGTCAAGATATTATTGTGTCTTCGACACTAGTTTTGCTATTAACAACCCCACTCATCAGTCTAAACAATTCGCCAGTAATATGATAGAACATTTTTGCAGTTTCACCGATAGCAACAACGAACCCTACACTACTGCCAATACTGCGTCTAACCATTGCCAAGAACATCTCGCGTGCATTCAGGAACTAATTCAAGGGCTCCAACCACTCTCAGATATAGTCAATAATTATTTTCATAATACCTATCCAACCCTACATACCAAAATGAAAAATCTCAATCTCGGGCCAAACGTTCCTAAATCATTCGGTGCTTTTCCTACTATTGGTATCAACTTTAACGTCATCTGCCAGTTTCATCGGGACTTGAAAGATCATCGAAATACGCTTTGTGTGGTGTGTCCTCTTGGGAATTTTGAAGGAGGGGAATTGGTATTTCCAGAATTAAAATTAATCGTCCATGTTAAGCAAGGTCAAGCGGTGGCTTTTCGATCAAACCTCCTGGTTCATGGAAATCTGCCAGTCGTTGCCGGAGTTCGCCACAGCATCGTTTTTTATATCCACAGTACGTTGATTAAACAAAAACGAAAGTTTGGTTCTCTTTTCGCTGATTATGAGTTGGATTGGGGTAACAATAATGATGATAAGCCATCACAAGAATATCTTCCTCCAACGCTAGGTTCTGGAAATAACGATGTGAAGCTAAAAAATCATAGAAGAACAAATATAGGTATGTATAGGCGAGATAAAACTTATATCTACGTATAGTTAAGAACTGATATTTATAGCGGAGCTAGCGCTAAAGCACATATTTTCCATTCATAGATTTGGAACGCGCAAAAAAAGGTTTACCAGCACGGTATAAGAAATAATGTTTTTGTGATGGATTTAAATTTGGAATTTATTGCCACTTAGTGTCTGTATCAAGCAATAGAAATTTATTATTCTTAATGTAAATATATCATGCCTTTAGGTGCCTCTTTGAGGCTTGATTATCATGGGTTAAATAAAGATTTCGTGTAGGCACGAAGTGCCATTGTTATACAATAAATATATAAAATTATACCGGAAATAACTAATGTTCGGATAATTAATTATCTGCCTAAAGACCTTGCCACGATTGATGTAGTCCTTGATCAGGCCCGTAGGGGCGAGTTACACTCATGGCTTGAGCAAGATTATTTAATAAATTAATTCGTTCTGAATCAGTCAATTCTGATGTTACTCTAATTGCAGAAATAAGATCTGTGGCACTTCGTGCCTTGGTTGAAACCATTCTATTAGGTCCACCGGTAAAGATAACACTTCGAGATGCTCTTAATGAATCTGGAATAAGTGAATGTGTATTCTCACTCTGTATATCGTCATCGGGGTCAGAACCAGAAGTATCAGACGATCCAGAATCGGACTGTTCATATGATGAATCGTAATTTTCAATACATATACTTGGATTAAGTCGTTTTATGATCTTTTCACTAATATTTTCACAACCTTCCAAATTAAGATATTTTAGATCGAGGCATGAATGTGCTATTTCTTTAATGGTTGTATCGGAAATATCACAAAATCCAAGTTCAAGATGCTGAAGTTTAGGACAAGAACAAATAACATTACATATCGATGGTTCGGTAATGAATCCACACCCTCCAAGATCAAGATATTCCAATTCATGGCATGTACTAGCTATTGCTTCAACAACCTCATCTCCGATATCATTACCAGAAATATTGAAATGTTTTAAATTTGGAGAAGATCTGATAATAGCTACAATAAGAGAATCATTTCGAAAAGCCATAACACCGGCGAAATCGAAATATTCTATTTTGAGATATGCTTGTATTAACATATCAGCATCTTTGATTTCCCCACGGCTAAATGCAATATCTAAAGATTGTAAATTAATACATGAATTTAAGATACGACTTATAGTTTTATCAGTGATCCAATATGCTTCACTAAAATAAAATTTTTTCAAATTACAACACGATTCTGCAATTGCTATTAATGATTTATCGGTAATACCTCTACAGTAAGAAATATTTAGATATTCTAATTTATTGCATGATTGTGCAATTTGACATAGTCCTTTATCAGTTATCATTCGATTATCCCATAAATTAAGATGTTTTAAATTTGGATACGATAAAGCTATTTTAATTAATGTCTTATCACTAATGCCCACGCATTTTTTAAAGTCTAAATGAATTATATTTGGGCAGTAATTTATGATAGATCTAATTAATTTATGTGTAATTGAATGATAATGTGAAATTTTTAAGCTTTTCAGGTTTGAGGCATAGACAGGTTTTTTCTCCTCACATATCAGCTTTATAAAACTTTCTAACCGCGTTCGATATCGTTCACAATAATTATATTCAACTGGGAAATAATGTCCATAATGAATATCATTACCTTTTAACTCAACTCTCTTCCATAGTAGCGGTATATCACACTTGTATCAAAAGTGGTTAACAAACAAAGTGGAATAGAGGGATCGATCAATTTCTAAATAATATAAGATCTGTTCTAATAATTCTGGTAAATCAAAAATATTATGTTGTTGCATCATTCTCAAGTAATATACAGTATATCTTCAATCAAAAAAATAATTAATATTTAGATTATTGGTTCACATATTTAGTTATCAGATTTTAAAAGTAACTTTACTCGTTGATAATATCGATCTTTGGCTTGCTTCATAAATGATCCACCAGGTCTATAAAGCCATTTAATTACTGCATGCTGGATTATTTTAGCAGAATTAATTTGTCTTCTCCATAAATGATATGTCTGCTGGATAATCAATGTTGCATGATTTTCTTTATATAGTGCTAGTTGAACTTTAAAATCCCTATAATTAGGATCATTACCTATTTGCTTATGGCTGGTCAAATTATTTTTGATATGAAATACAAAATTTTCCCAGTAATCTCTACTATTTATTTCATATCCTAGTTTTAATAAACGCTTGCGTACATACTTTGGTGGATAATATTTTGCAAACCGTAACCATGCTTCTGATGTTTTAATATTGTTAACGATATAATTTACACCATAATCACTTAACCTATTTCGCACTCTGCTATAACTCATTATATATTTGTTATTTCAGATGTATCTAATATAGTTTTAATTGGTACTTCATATTATGAAATAATGAGCTCCACTCTAATTTTGCAAGATAAAATTCTCATAGTGATGCTTTATTATAACAATATATTTAATAATATATTTTTACTCATATTAATAAATATTATTATAACATCAACAATGACTAAAGCTACTATTGATTCGGGTGCAGACTTTTCAACTATAACCGAAGAATTTGCTAAACGTTTGGGAATAAAAATTAATGGAAATGACCATGAATCTCAGAATAATAGTATGATATCCAGTATTGTTAAACAAGTATCACGTAAAACGATTTCGATTTCTCTCTGCTAATTACTGAAAATAGTAAAACCCAAGATTCGGCACGAAATTATAAACTCGATAGCAAACCTGAATATCCCTAAAAAACATATTCCATGTGAGACTAAAAGAAAATGCAAAGCTAGAAAAAAACTAAATTTTAACGATACCGCATCTGAATCCTCATCTTCATCTGGGTCTAACTACCTCCGGCAACGATGATAAAGATTTTACTGTAAATGTGGTGAAAGCAAAAAAGCATGATTAGTCTTTATCATAAAGACAAAACGGTCTTGCTTGATTAGGATCTTGCCCCCTTCTGCAATAATTAACCACAACATAATTCTGTACTGGGAAAATATGATTGTTACTCAAATGTCTTAAAGCTTTCCCAGCAATAGTGTAAGCGTGGGCCATATTTTTTGCTCCATTCGTTATTACAGCATAAACGGCACCTATTTTTCGTAAGTATTTGGGAATTAAATCATAATCTTTTAAGAATCTATTGAACCATTTAACTCCTGGCTTACCTGGGTTACCTATTCGACCAGAAAATATAGAATTCTGTATCCAGGTTAATAATTCTCTGGCTCTTTCTTGGTTCTTTTCCATAGATCTAAATTTTCTAGAAATATCTGGTTGGCCCCTGTTCTTTGCATAACCTGTTACCCTGGCATCTGTAATATGTAAAGTTGTAAGTTTAGCGGGATGGATACAAAGCATTATCATGATATCAGCAAGAGCCCAATAATTGGGTGGAGTTTTTAAATTATACGCATCTAACCTTTCTTTGACCGATTCTAATGTAAATTCATCTGGATAATCAATATGATTAGCTTCAGCCTTTTTCCGATTGTTCATCTGAATTTTGTTAGCTTCTTCTGTAATATCTGGAAATTTCGTGGCCTCGATTATTTGTAATGAAGCACCAAGATTTTTTAATTCTCTTCAAAGTCGGAAAAGATGTGATGAATCAGCATTGGTATTTTTTGCTAATAGGGCCAAGGCATAAGCTTCGGCTCTTATATCTCTAATGCTAAGTTCATCTCGTAAAATCCGTTGCACCATATCTCCAATAGTTTCTTCCTCCATTCCTTTCGAGGGTTTGTTGGAAATCACAATATTTACATTTTTATCTAAGATAGTTACACTGTGGTTACTTCTGTTTTTCTGGATCGAGAGGTGACGTGAGTCACTTTGTAAAGCAAATAAGTCATTTATTTAATCCTCACTAAATCCATATCTATTTTGCAAGATTCGTTTTGCTATCTCTCTGATAATTTCTTTTTCTAGAGTTTTTGGGAGCTTGGTTATAGCTATTCTACAATTACCTTCAACCATATTTATAGTTTTATTTTTCCCACTTCTCTGATTAGGTATCAATATGCTCACCTGATCACTGCTAAATTTAAAGCCATCCCGAAGGCATCGTCGAGCTTGATTCTGTTTTTTATTATTGGTAAGGTTCTC